ACCAAAGCTGTCACCATTTTAGATGCTACAAATTTGCTTACTATTGCATGGGAATTGGTTACACGAGAAACGATTCGTAATTGTTTTCGCCATGCTGGTTTAGTGAAAAACATAACTGAAATAGTCAACGATTTTAATCCAGAAGATGAAATCCCATTAAGTGATTTACTGAAAATTAATAGTTTACTGTATACAGACAAATTTAATGAGTATGTAAATGCTGACAATAATTTAATAACAACACAGGAATCGTCATTTCGTTAATGAAAGATCCGTTGATAACGAACAGGAAGACGAAATAGAAAACAACGATGAAGAAGAGCTTCCAGTGACTACTAAGTAGACGTGAAAAAGTTGCAACGTTATTTTCAGCAAGAAGAGAGTACCGCCACACTTACCAAATTAAATAAAATTCAACTTGCTGTTCTAAATAATTATACAAAAAAACAATCTGTTTAAATGGAAATTACTAGCTTTTTTACCAAATAAATTACAGTTTTTACAGATACCTACACTGTACGTATGCCTGTAATAGTGTATCAGATTCCGAAAAAATGCAAATTTCAAAATTACGTATAACTTTTTTGTATGTATCTTTATTTATGTAATACATGTTAAACAAACACATTTTAAGCTTTTAATGTTATTTTTGCTGCCTTTTTCATTAAAAAAAGTGTTTCTTTTAAGATGGTCATCCGCCTATAACAGACTATTTATCACAGTTCCGCCGAGTCCATTGTAAGGGGGTTGCACTGTACATTGTTGGCTTTTACGGTTTACTCAACTGGACGCTTATGAAAGCTGACAAACTACCTGCTGACCGGGAATTCCTTTTCTTGCCTATTGTTTGCTGGACTAGCAAACCCTCTCACAAGGTGACCGAAAAATATCTAAATACCATTAGGTATAATATATGATTTTATTTTGCTCACCCCATTGAGGATTTACATGCATAATGAGCATTTATTGCTCTCTCGCATTTTGAAATAGACTACAGAATTTGCAGATACTTAAAGGCATTCAGCCCACCCCCCAAAAAAAATTATATCCGCAAGGTGGCAGTACAATGACGAAATTCATGATTAAATCGAACGCCTGGCCCACTGGGCTCTGAAGACGCCTACCCATCGCCGTGTGATTACACAACGTTGCCAGAACGGCGCACCGGCCTAGTCATCCTGCCGGCGCCAGGCTATATGGGATTTTGGTAAATTGTCACCCTTTCATACAACTACCCGTCAACTTTGACAGCCTGTCAGTTCGCCAGTCTTGGAAATGTTATATTCTAGAATAAAGCACTAGTAAGAATGAGGTAGCACCTGACCTTTCAGTCCATTTAAAAAATGTTCCAAAATTATTGCACCCATGAATTTCAGCTAGCTAACGTGACCCGTTCAAACAAAAAGTAGAGGGACCATTGAAAAGCACTGTATGTATGTATATAAGCTACTTTGGTTTCAGAGGAAACGCGTAGTCACTGATCGAAAGTTATTTGTCAAATCGCCCACAATCTGTGCAGATATCAGGATCATTTAGTAAAGAAATGTATATTAAGTGTGGTGCCCCACAAGGAACTGTCTTAGGTCCGCTGTTATTCAATATATATTTAAATGATATTTTCCAAATTAATTGTGTTGGCAAAATAACTAGTTTTGCAGATGATACTGCAATATTTTATGAAGGCACTGGCTGGTCTGATCTGAAAAATGTAATTGAAAATGATTTTATCAAAATTATTCGGTGGTTTAACAGTAGAAAATTAAGCATTAACTACTCTAAAACACATTTTTTACCATTTGGATCTTATGCTAGACATCTGCCAAATTACACAAATTTCTCCTTCAATATTAATGATCAAAAAATGCAAATTAATAGAGTGCCCAACATAAAATACCTTGTAGTGGTCTTGGATCCTCACTTACGATGGGACATCCATGTCAATTATATTTTAAAGAAAGCTAGATTTGTATCCTACAAAATTAAATACCTTGGGAATATATTGACAGAAAAATATCTTCGAACATTATACCATGCACTGATTGAGCCTCATCTCACATATGGTATATTAGCATGGGGAGCTGCATGTTTCTCACATATCTATAATTTAGATGTTTTTCAAAAAAAGTATTCTAAGAATGATATTTAAAAAACCGAAACTTTATCCCACTGAAAAATTATACGCAGATGTTCGAATGTATGATATAAGACAGCTTTATTTCTTACACAGTATCACTACACTATAAATTTGTAAACACCGACCAAAAAATTAAACATAATCATTATACCAGGTACAAAATTCGTGGCACAGTAGTTCCTCAACCGCATAAATCTATAATGCAGCGATCATATCTCTATTTAGCGCCCAAATTTTATGAAATTATACCTAAAGACTTAAAAGATTTACGTTTCGGAAATTGTTTCAAAAGAAATTTAAAAAAGTGGCTACATTCTATATCTAGGACTGAAATTCATAAACTCATAAATACGAACATCAACTAAATACATAATCTACTGTAGCTAATTTTTGTCCTTTTTTGTCATTTGCATTCTACAGTTTCAACTTAAATTATTGGTCCATGTACAGGCGATGCCTTCTATTGGGCCTGTTTTGATTTTATATTTATTTACTCATATTGTTTGTTATCTTTGTACATTGAGTGAATAAATATTATTATTATTATTATTATTACTTTGAAAAAATAGACATCATAGGTAGTATAAGTTTATTCACATATATACAGTTTCAGTGGACCCAACAATCCAAATTCATACATATAGACAAATAAACTTCAAAATCCCACTTAAGTACATAGTCATGCCATAAGTTCTGTCCCTCGTTTTCAAACAAGTGTAGACCTGTTAATACTTGTCCGATTGTTTACATTGTGGTGTCAGTTGATTAAGCGGTTTTCGGGTAATTACATATACCTCAGTTTGTATTGATCTCTCGAAGCATAACGATGGAGTGGGGCAAGGCAGAGAACCGTATTGCAGTGATAGCTTTACATAAGTGTAATCACAGTGCTAGTCAGATTTTTGAACTCTTACGCGGCCTTCAAATATCGCGTAAATTTGTGTCTAGGACCATTCAGCGGTACAGTGAGACGTCCTCTGTTGATGACAGGCCAAGAAGCGGAAGACCTCGTCAAATAAGGACTCCAGCAGCCATCAAAGCCGTAAAAGCCAGGATTCAAAGGAATCCACTCCGGAAGCAGTAGATCCTATCCAGGGAAATGAAGATTCCTGTCCGGACGATGTCGCGCATCATTAAACAAGACCTAGTGCTAGGGGCTTACCGGAGACGTACGGGCCAGCGACTTACGGCCACCTTGCGACACATCAGGGCGACAAGATCCAAGAAGCTCTTGGAGAGGTACGCAGCTGGGGGATTCCGAAAGATTTTGTTCACGGATGAGAAAATCTTCACCATAGAAGAAAAATTCAACCGACAAAATGACAAAGTGTATGCAAGGAGTTCACAGGAAGCTTCGGAGATCATTCCGAGAGTTGAGAGAGGCCACCACCCTGCGTCAGTCATGGTTTGGTGGGGGGTGTCCTACGAAGGGGTCACTCAGCTCCATTTCTGTAAACAGGGCGTGAAAACAAAAGCGGCAAACTATCAGAGCGACATACTGGATCCTATCGTCAAGCCTTTAAGTGGTACATTGTTTGCCAACCAACACTGGGTCTACCAGCAGGATTCCGCCCCCGCTCACAAGGCTAAGAGTACGCAGCGCTGGCTGGAAAGCAATGTGCCAGAGTTCATTGCTGCGGAAGATTGGCCCTCAGGGAGTCCGGACCTCAATCCTTTAGACTACAAGTTGTGGGACCTGCTAGAGCAGTTGGCCTGCTCCAAAGCCCACCGTAATATCGAGTCCCTGAAAGCGGATTTGATCCGATCAGCGGCAGCTATTCCTTTGGAAGCTGTGCGTGCAGTGATAGATGAGTGGCCCGCGAGATTGAAGCAGTGTGTGAAGGCCAAGGGGGGACATTTTGAATAAAACTGTTTGATTATGAATTCTAAAAATGTTGTCGAATAAATAATATCTTTCATATAAATATATCTTATCTTGTTTCATTTTTATCATGAGATTATCATGGGACAGAACTTATGGCACGACTACGTATATATACCTACTAGATACAGATATGAGCATCCCTACTAATATTATAAATGTGTGTATGTTTGTATGTTCCGTTTTCACGCCAAAACGGCTGAACCAATTCCGATGCATTTTGGAACAGACATAGATTAGACTTTGGAGATGAAGGGGTTGAAATGGGTGTAAATGTGACCATGTGCATCAAGAAACTATTATTATTTTAGTTCGTGATATAAATATTGGTTTTTATATATATTTGGTTCATACATATAAATTAAATGAGCACTCACAAAGCAATTTTGGAAATTCCACCCCCAAGCAAGGGTTGAAGCGAGGTAACGCCCTTTGTACTGAGGAACCTAAGCTATTTCAAATAGCCCAGAAGTAGGGGGTATCTTTTATTTATAATTTTATCTATAAAATAAACTGACATTATGATATCCTCCAGATGGGGAAGGGAGGGGGGGTGAATATTTCTTATCAGCTTTTTGGTTTCTTGTCACCGTTTAGATAAATTTATCTCGAGAACTAAGACATACATATGTATATAATATATATTTTCAAAGAATTTCAAAATTTCGGAATTTTAAAAATTTTCATGATTTTCGAAAGTTTAGATATTTTCAAAATTTATCAAGCTTCAAAATCATCAAAATTCTAGAAATTTTCAAAATTTTTTCGATTTATAAAATGTTCTAAATTATTATGATTTTCAAAATATTGAAAAATTTTAAAACCTTCAAAATCTTGAAAATTTTCTAAATATTCGAAATCTACAAGATTTTCAAATTTTTCAGAATTTATGTTGAATTTTCACACTATGCAATTTTGGCATTTTAACAAAAACTAACTGCGAGAATAACGTTAGAACAAAACACCAATTAGCACCAAATACCATTAAAACAATGAAAATAATCACAGCTACAACACTTATGTACTCAAAGAATAAATCACACGCGTGGCAACACGGTAACTAGTCAGCATGGCAAACGACGCACCTGTCTTAAATAGGGCCAATAATCTTCCGCCGTGGGAGTGGTCAGCGGGAGGCGTGGTTTTGCCAAAATATTTGTCAAATTACATCTACAACTCAAAAACCGTTTGAGCAAATGAGTTGATTTTTTCTTTGATGGCTTGTTCTTTCAGTTCTCTATGTCTTTTATCCACATACTTTCAAAAAATCGTTTTCCTTCAAAAGAAAAAGAAAATTTTTATGCGAAAAATAAATTATATGTGGAAAATGAGCGATAAAGGACGTTCCTTTATTGATTCATAATGCAATCACTTAATTTCATGTCTTTACGATTATTTGTTTCGAAGCTAGGACTGTAAAAAAATTGGCAAAAAAAAGTTGTCATTTTGACAAAAAAACATGAGATTATCATAAATCAGTCATTTTTATACACACCCTGAAATAATCAGACAATAAGTGCTCATAATACTGCTCCAAACGCACAGTTGAAAAAAAGGGACGTGCGACCTTAAGCCCGAAGATCAAAAGTGGCAGTGACTCATCCGTGTTACCTTTGGTCTCCGCGGTGGGGCAGGGGTGGAGGCGCTTTCCATGTGCGTGCGAACTAGCTTTTATACAAATTTTATTAAAATAAAACCATTTAAACTGGGTGTTCGGATTTATATGTCACTTATATGTATTATAGTCATCACATTGGAAAATAAAAATTAGTTTTGGTGAAATATATAGATTTTTTTTTATAATAATTGTGATCTGGGTATTAAAAAGTAGTTCAAACTCATACAAAAACGACAGGAAAAACGTATTCAAATTGTATAAAATAATATTATACTGCCTCCGCCACAGCAGCAGGAAATTTATAGTGTTTTAAGAGACAATTTAATTATTAAGGTGTATAAAAACATTACATCTTTTTTTTTGTTTACAACTAGTAATACGACTTCAAAACATAACTTGTAAAATGCCAGGTGATTTTTTTTTAAATCTGATGATTCTTCATTCCAATGTCTGGTCAATTCTATTTTTTTTTTTGACCTGGCTACACTGCTTGAGAATTCAACGATCAACAGCACTGTTTGTGTTATGACACGGCATAAGTACGGTTTAAATAAGGTTTATAGAATACGATTGATTGCTCATCAATCTGCAGAGTATTGAACACAAGAACAAAATGTTTCGTATCATCCCCAAATGAACTTTTTTGTGTGCTTTTCAACTTCCTGATATTTTTGAGCGAAGTCAAATAAGTCTTTTTTCAAGGGGCCAACGTTTTTTTTTTAAATCATTGACTCCAAAATTTAGCTTAGCCTCATTTTTCAATAATGATGCTCATAGAATACATCAAAAGCTCTTTTTATTGTGCTGCAACGTAAATAAAATTTTATGAGAAAGAGGACATTACCTCCTAGGAGTTAGCGCACTACTTGATAATTGTGGGAAATACGAGGGTGGATCAAATTATTTAAGCAGGAATTTTACAAATACTTTTCTTAGCCAATCACGAGTGCTCTCACACACACGACACACACGCATTACCGTCAACGCGGCGGCCAATTTCGCGATAGGGCAAACCAACATCTCGATTGGCAATAATTCTACCCGTGTCAGTCGCTAATATGGTGATAATTTGAACGTCCTCGAACTCGAGGCATTTTGTTATGCTTAACACTAGAAAATGAAAGGGCAATAACTAAAAATATCCGTACAACTCAGCTCTCAGACTGCTTACTTCACAAAAACTAAGAGATAACATTTTAATAAAGGTAAACAAAAACAAAGATAAAACGTTGACATTGTTGCCACAGCATGCTTTAAATATAGTCATTATGTCGCCAAACAAGTTGAAATTATTTTTGCCGAGTGTAACTCTTCTAATGTCTCTTGAGTATGACAATGACAATGTTTCGTTTGGGTAAATACATGGGTTATTTTTAGTTTCTAGTTATATATTAGATGCCTATTAATTTACTTACACTACAGAAGTATTATGTATTATAGTCATCACATTGGAAAATAAAAATTAGTTTTGGTGAAATATATAGATTTTTTTTATAATAATTGTGATCTGGGTATTAAAAAGTAGTTCAAACTCATACAAAACGACAGGAAAAATGTATTCAAATTGGATAAAATAATATTATACTGCCTCCTCCACAGCAGCAGGAAATTTATAGTGTTTTATTTGACAATTTAATTATTAAGGTGTATAAAAACATTACATCTTTTTTTTTTTTTACAACTACTAATACGACTTCAAAACATAACTTGTAAAATGCCAGGTGATTTTTTTAAATCTGGTTTTTTTTTCCTGGCCACACTGCTTGATGACAGAATCCCCTAAACTTCTGCATCGCACAAAAAAGTCACAATACATCACACGTATACCATCACAGCTACTGACAGTGTTGCTTTATATTTTATAGTCATTTATAACGAAATATCTCCGAAAGCATCAGCATTGATAATCTGGATATTTACAAAAACAAATGATATATTTAATATTTTTACATTTAGATAAGATAGAGCATCCCGGCAAGCAGCACGTCACGTGATGCCGGTAATGCAGTTTCCTCGATTTTTCCTGGAGAGGAAATTGGGTTGCCAGTTCGCCCAAAAGACGCGTATCTTGAAAAATGACATTATGTCGATTTTTTTGACCTCGTATTGGGTTTTTTGTGACATTATGTAGGTTTTTGCCCGTCGGGCACAGCTAACAGATCTACTTCATTGGCAGCATATTCAGTAATGATTTTCTCCCACAGCAAATATCACTGATTTTATACACATGCAGACCAAACTTTCTTTGTTTCACATCCTCTCAGAGATGAAAACTTCAGACGACTTGGCTTCACAAAACATATGCAACCAACAATGCGTGTAGTTGTAGTTCATTTCTCCATAGATCCTAGTGAGGAAACGTGGAATGACTGTTTGCACCATAAAAACTACCTGGTCTGCAAGATGACATTTTATAGGTTTTTTACATAATACCCGTGCGGATCCACCGTAGAAAATGTGAGTAATAATTGACGTAAAAGATCAAGTGTATCTGGTGACAACATTACTGCTAGATAAAGGCATGACCTGGCAGAAACATACAGCAGCCTTGAAAACAAAATTGCGTTTCGGCAACTATATCCTCTGTTAGTTCGCCTATATAAAATGATTATTAGACCAGCCATTACTTATGCATGTCCGGCTTGGTGTTTTCTTGCCAAGATACATATGCAAAGTCTTCAAGTACTGCAAAGTAGAACTTTACGAACAATTTGCGACGCTCCATGGTATGTCTCAAACGAGACACTACACAGAAACCTTGACATTCCTTACTTGAGGGATTATGTCAAACTTCAGGCGCAGCGACGTTATAGTCAAGCGGAATCGCACAGCAACCCTCTGTTGCGCGACTCAGTGGACTACACAGTGAAGCAAGTTCGTAAACATTCCAGGCCACGGCTCGCACTGTAATCAAAAATTAACGCGAACTTTTAGTAAACTTAAAATTACACTGTAACAAAACCGAATCAAAATTTGTTTAGTTCACCTCAAAATTAATCCGTGTACCAAGTCAAAAAGCCTAGGTGTCCCTTCTTAAGCTGAACACTTCTGTTTTACTTAGCTCTTCTCCATTTTCTTTTATTTCCTTTTCTATTTTTCCTTGACATTGTCTGGTTTCTGGGCAACCAGTAGGGGAGACCGGGGCTGGTTGTCACATGGGTTGGTTGTCACAATTGTTAAATCTCAGCAGGTCCGCAAGATGTAGTTGCCTGGCGCGCTATACATCGTTTCTGCGTCCGCGCAGAACACTTGTATTCAGTACGAAAGTTGTCGTTGGTAGATTGAGGTCGCACACACAAAAATAAACAAATCGCCTAACCGGAGTCAATTTTTCGTTTGCCACATAATTTGTGTTTTCAAGACTACATTTGATAATAAAAAGAACTGTTGAGTTTATTTTGCTCTTCAATAATCCGAATACGACTTAACGTAAGTATTGACTTTGAATTTGTTAATCTAATCTAACGTTAAAAATTAATTATCTAGTAGGGCAGGTTGTCTCAAATTAGCGGGATCCTCTTGTCACATGGGACAACCAGCCCCCACACTAGACGATCAGCTTTGCACATCATTCTACGTAGGTATATGTATATAATGTATTTTTTAATATTTTCAGGTTACATAAGCATGGTTCGAAATTTCAAAAGGAAGACTGAGAAGGGCAAAGCGCCGCCTGACGTACTTTTAAGAGCTGCTAGGTTAGTGAGATTAGGATCCTCAATAAGAAAAGTAGCAGCTGACTTCAATGTAAATTACCGTACTTTAGCAAGATACTGTAAGAAAATTCCAGAGTCTGAATTACTTGACGATCGAGTTGTTGCGCCGCCAATTTCAGTTGGCTACATCAAAAATCATTTAGTATTTGAGCCTGAACTTGAAAATCATCTAGTGGAATATGTACTCAAAGCATCTGATATTTATTTTGGATTATCACCCAAGGAAGTACGTGGACTGGCATATGAATTTGCTAATGCTATTTCCTTGAAAATGCCATAAAACAGCTGGTCCTGACTGGTTTAGTGCGTTTCTGAAACGTCACCCTGTACTGTCTATTAGCAAACCGGAAGCAACTAGTTTAGCAAGAGCCAGTACTTTCAATAAAGCGGGCGTCAACGCATTTTTTGATAATTTACCTTCAGTTATGGCAAAATATAAATTTGAGCCTCACGAAATCTGGACCATGACGAACCTGGGATTACAACTGTCCAAAGACCCGACCGCGTTGTTGCCAGAAGAGGATTCAAACAGGTTTGTTCGATAGTTTCATCAGAAAAAGGAACTCTTGTTACTTTAGCAAGTGCAGTATCAACTATTGGAAATTCCATACCTCCTTTTTTCATTTTTCCACATTTTTTAAATTCGCCTCCTCCTGGCTCACAAGGTTCAGCAAACCCATCAGATTGGATGAAAGAGTCACATTTCTTGGAGTTTCTTAGATTTTTTGACCTTCATGTGGAAACTACTGTGGAAAGACCGTGCCTGCTTTTATTAGATAACCATGGATCACATCTGAGTATAGAAGGACTGAGTTTTTCCAAAGCAAATGGTATTGTCATGCTCTCTTTTTACTCTCACTGTTCAGATAAACTTCAACCTCTTGACCGCGCCGTTTCCGGCCCTTTTAAGACATATGTAAATAATTCCTGCGATGTTTGGGTTTTAAATAGTCCCGGTAAGACCATGACTATATACGGCATACCTTCAGTGGTCTCTATTGCATACCCCCTCGCATTTACTTCCAAAAATATACAGTCTGGATTTCGGGCGTCGGGTGTGTTTCCTTACAACAGAGATATTTTCACGGATGATGACTTTCTTGCGAGCTCTGTCACTGATAGGCCAGATCCGGGAATCTTGAACGAAGCAATAACTGGACCAAACCCGGAAACCTTGAACGAAAAAGAAGTGGGCCAAATCCAACCATCTTGAACGAAGATGAAACTGTAAGTCTGATAAATATTAACACCCAGTGTTCGTGACCTGATTGAAAGTGACAGGCGACTCACTATTCATGAAGCCGCTTTAAGAGTGGGCATTAGCTTTGGAAGTGCTCCAGCAATCATCAAAAAGCATCTTGGCTGCAATAAAATCTGTGCTCGTGGGTGCCGAAGATCAAAAAACATTCAACTGCAAACCAGTAGGAAACATCTGAATCGATTTCGGCGGGAGGGAGACTTTGTTTAATCAAATCGTGACGTTTGATGCAACATGGGTGCATCATTACACTCGCGAGTCCAAGAAGGCGAGTAAAGAATGGCAAAGGAAAGACGAAACTGGTCCTATGAAAGCCAAAACCCATCTCTCAGTAGGTAAGGACCTCGCCTTTTTCGACTGTAAAGGAGTGTTGCTCATTTATTTTCTACACAACCGACGCGACGTACGGTTAAAGCATCCCACAAACCGGCGCGAAATAATCGCGGCGAAGTATTCGCAACGAAATTCAGAGCGAAATTCGCAATCTGTTTCGCCTGTTTATTCATACCAAAGCGTCTTATTCGCTCCGCGAACGTGAAGGTTTCGACAGGTTGCGTACATTTTATTTTTGCCTTTTGCAATGAGCTCGTCTTCAGAAGAAGAGGAGGCACTTCTATTTCTTGCTTCTGAAGAGGAACAAAATGCACGGTAAGTTATGTTTATTTAACGCCATTTGATAGTTGGGTATGTATTAAGTTTAACGAAGTACATAAAACAAATATTTTCAATTTTGTTTAGGAAACGAAGGAAGTGGGTACATGATATTAACTTGGAACGAAATAAATTTGGGGAATACCAAACCTTGATGCCACAACTTCGGCTGGATGAACAGCGCTTTTACGTATATTTTAGAATGACTCTAGAGTGTTTCGATGAAATATTGAACTTGGTGAAAGATGAAATACGAAAATCTGACACAAATTATCGTGAAGCTATTTCGCCAGAAGAACGACTTGCTATTACACTCAGGTAAACAAATTATATGTATTAAAATTAGTAGGCTTATCGAATACGAAAACTTCAGGGATCGTGAAATAAATATTTTATTGTAATAATTCGACTACATGTTGCCACTAGGATTAAATGTTGCTAAATAATTCGAGGCAGAATTTGCCTCCTCTGTTGGGTATATTATTGGAGTAAACCCAGTGCCGCTTGGGAAGGACGACATACTACTATCATACATACTTGCAGAATTCTGGGTAGACGCTGAAGACATTTCTTCAATATGTTCAAATTCTTCGTGCGCTATTAATTCGGCTATTTTTAGTTTTATTCGGGCTTGACGCTTTAAGGGAAGTGTTTTCACAGTCTGTGCATGTGCCAAGAAAAGTGAATCAATGGCCTCGTTCTCTTTTTTAGGTTTTTTACCTTCAAAATAATTAATGAGCTGTTGTACAGACGAAGATGGTGGTTCATAGCGTTTTCTGCTCGTTTTATATTTTGGTGTAGTTGCAGTCTGCGGAAAGGTGTGCCCTGGAGTAGTCACTGCTGTAGTGTTCAATGAAGAAGGTGGTGCTGTCTGTGTTGCCGAGGCGTTCTGTGCATCTTCTGCATCTACATCAGCATTTTCATCTTCTCCATGGCCGCGGTCTTCCAAATTTTCGGTTTCTACATTTCCAGCCCTTTCCTGATATATATTTGAGTTAAATTCGGCAGTCTCATAATGTATGACGTCAATATCTTTCACATTAGACGACGTTTTGGCAAATGCCAAAAAAGGACGGAAAAATTCCATGTAGTCAGCCCACTGCCATTTTTTTATGTTGCCCACTGCTTGGCCGGTCTTTGGTTTGGTACATTTTATATATTTTGCAAATGTGTCTCTGATATTCTTCCACCTTTTTTTTACTTCATCACCTAAAAACGATTTTTTTTATAGATTCCTTGCCACTGGTGACACCTTCTATACCATTGGGCATAGCTTTCGAGTTGGCTTTACAACAGTGAGTGCAATCGTAACCGAAGTCTGTGAAGCGATATGCAGACATATGGAGCATATATATTTACCAGAACCAACAGAGAATATATGGAAAAAATGTGCTGAAGAATTTGAAAATAGATGGGGATTTCCCAATTGCATTGGCAGCGTGGACGGTAAACATGTAACAATCAAGAGACCTAACAAAAGTGGCTCCAATTACTGGTGCTATTTACATAAATATTCAATAGTACTTATGGCCATTGTTGGCCCGGACTATAAATTTATATGTGTTGATATTGGTGGTTTCGGAAAAAATAGTGATGGGGGTATTTTCGAAACCTCAAACATGGGAAAACGATTTGAACAAAATTTAATGAGTGTGCCTGCACCTAGATTTCTCCCTGGGCAAAATGAAATCTGCTCGTACGTCTTAATTGGTGATGAAGCATTTGCTTTAGAACCATACCTTATGAGACCATTTCCTTATAAGCAGACTTTAACAGTCGTCAGAAAAGAGAAATACAATGTAAGACTTTGTCGAGCTAGAAGGGTCGTGGAAAATGCGTTTGGTATTTTGTGTCAAAAATGGCGAATATTTTACAGGCCGTTAGAAACTAAAGTAGATACTACTATTCTAATTGTACGTACGGCATGGGTTTTACACAATTTTTTACGAAGTAAAAGTGGCGATGACAAATATTTTCAATTCTTAGATCCCCCAGAACCCGTGCTTGGAGCTTTTACTGATATAGCAAATGATCCTCGGCGGGCAGCAAGGCTAGCATTTTCTACTCGTGACAAATTCGTAAATTATTTTAATTCTGATATGCCTATGCCCAATATATAGAATGTTCGTTTTCACATTTGTGTAGACTGTAAATTATTTAACAAGTTAATAAAAAATATTAGGTACATACCATTTGTATTTAATTCTTTTCCTATTTCCATCCAAATCTTGTCTTTCTTTCTCACATTCCTGTATTCATCGTTCGACAAATCATACAAACAAGGATACTTTTTCACTATTTCTATCAATAATTCCGTTTTTGCCATTGCGAATTTTTGAAGAACGGCGTCAAAAACGCGGTCAAAGGCGAACTGAAATACGCAGCGATAAAAACGCTGGAACAATCGCCGTCGCTTCGCACAAGTCTGAGCCTGTCCGTAAACCGCCGCGTTTTAATCTGATCGCGAAATCATCGCCGCGAAATTTTCGCAGCCAAAGCGAATATTTCGCGCCGGTTTGTGGGATGCTTAATGCTGCCTACTCCTGTCAGCTGTTGAAGGCAGCGAAAGCCGCATACACACGTAAAAGACGCGGTGTCCCCATCAGAAATGTCATTCTCCTTCATGACGCTGAAACGAAGCAAAAACTGGAGGGTATGCATTGGGCAACTCTTGAGTATCCTCCATACACCCCAGATTCGTCACCCTGTGACTATCATTTGTTTGCGCCCATGAAATATGCACTTGGAGGATTGCGCTTTCACAACGAAGGAAATGTGGAGATCTTCGTGCGAAATTGGCTGGTCACCCAACCTCCAAATGTCTACAAGCTAGGAATTTGTAATCTTCCAAATAGCTGGAAAAAATATGTAGAGCGTGGAGGAGAATACATAGCAAAATAATCAACAGCATTTTTGTATTGTTTTATGAATAAGTAAATATTAAAAAAGAGTTACGGTTTATACAGGGTGACTTGTAATGTCACGTATTCCTGTTAAGGGGTGATAGATTAGGTCAAAAGCAACCGATTTTGTCCTATCATGTCTTATCCAAAAGTTGACCATTTTTGAGTTATTTGAATTTTAAGTTTTTTATTTTTTATTCCGATTTCAGACGGTTAAAATTGAAATACAAAAAAACTGCATGCTTGATTTTGAGTTTTTTTTATCGTCGCATAGCAGACATTCCAATAGTTCATAATAAGTAATAAAATGTTGAAAGGCTACTAACGTTTTAAAATTACGCTTTTTAAATGTATCATGTTCTTTTTTTTTTACTCACTTATTCGATAAAGAATGCAATTTTCTGTAAAAAATCACCTAGTAATAAAATGTGCAAATTATGTAAAAAATATCTCTATCTAACAAGCTTTCATTTGAGGTATTAAGCGTTCAATTATCTGAAGTACATGCAGAGAAACAACAATGACACCCACAGAGGCTGGATTTTTAAGGAATTTGTATTAGCTGTTTGAACAAGTCGTTACTGTCCTCAAAGGACTCGCATGCCATGAATTTTTTATGGCATCGGCTCGACGAGGAAGCGAGCGAGGAAGAGCTGACTTAGTGGAGGAGTGAGAGAGAGAGAGAGAGCTGTTATTATTCATCATTGTAGTTACGCCATCGCCGCACGCCGAGACTTAGGTTTAGTTGGTACTATTCGTCATTTATTTGTCTGGGCGGTCCGTAGGACCTTTGCCCATTAGTCACTGTCTGATGTACGTTAGTCGAATCTGTCAGTCCTGGTTGCCCAGAAACCAGACAAAGTCAGGGAAAAAGAGAAAGGGAAAGAGAAGAAAAAAAGGAGAAGAACAAAGAAAAACAGATATGCTTAGTTTAAGAGGAAACACCTAGGCTTTTTGACTTGGTACACGGATTAATTTTGAGGTGAACTAAACAAATTTTTTGATTCGGTTTTGTTAGAGTGTAATTTTGAGTTTACTAAAGATTCACGATAACTTTTGATTACAGTGCGAGCCGTGGCCTTGAATGTTTACGAACTTGCTCCACTGTGTAGTCCACTGAGTCACGCAACAGAGGGTTGCTTGACTATAACGCCGCTGCGCCTGAAGCTTGACATAATCAATCAAGTAAGGAATGTCAAGGTCTCTGTGTAGTGTCTCATTTGAGACATACCATGGAGCGTTGCAAATTGTCCGCAAAGTTCTGCTTTGCAGTACTTGAAGACTTTGCATGTGTGACTTGGCAAGAAAACACCAAGCCGCACATGCATAAGTAATGGCTGGTCTAATAATCATATTATATAGTCGAACTTTGTTTATCAAACTCAATTTCGAGGATCTACATAACAAACGATATAGTTGCCGAAACGTAATTTGGAATTTTGTTTTTATGGATGCTGTATGTTTCTGCCAGGTCATGCCTCTATCAAGGGTGACACCGAGATACTTGGCAGAATTTGTCCATGGTACACGATTTCCGTCTACAGAAACCTCTGCTGGGGGGCCGCGACGTTTTTTGGTACAATAAATAGCCTGCGTTTTCGAATGATTCATTTTTATCAGCCACCGTTCCGCCCACTCTAGAACTTCGTCCACCGCATTCTGCAACCCATCGTGAACCAGATCACCAGTACACGACTGGGCGACAAGTGCAGTGTCGTCAGCATAGAGGTAGACTTCACAGTTGCTGGGGGAAGGGACATCATGGATGAAAAGCGAATAAAGAATTGGTCCTAGGACCGAACCCTGAGGAACTCCGGCCCGTACTGGCCGTGATGTTGACAAAACATTGTTAATTTTGATCCGAAACTTCCTTCCTTCAAGAAAGGATTTCAGTAATTTTAGAAGCCAAAAAGGAAAACCCTTTTGGATTAGTTTATAGAGGAGGCCCGCGTGCCACACCTTGTCAAAGGCTTTTGAGACATCCAAAAGCAAGATGCCAGTACTCATGCTGAGGGTGAACCCTCTGGTTACATGCTCCACCAGCCTGACTGCCTGTAGCTCGGTGCTATGCTCGGACCGAAAACCGAATTGGACGTCAGGAATCACATGGTGATTTGACGAAAAATTCTCAAGGTGACGATAAATCACCTTTTCGGCGAGCTTAGAAGGAGCTGACAGCAGACTTATGGGACGGTAATCCTGAGGAAATATCGAACCCGCCTTCTTTGGAATCATGATGACCTCAGCAGTCTTCCACCCAGCAGGGAAGTACTGGATTTTGAGCGTCGCATTGATTATTGTCACCAAGTATGTCAGGGCTTTCGGCGAGAGCAGCTTCAACGCCTTGTTGGTGATTTGATCCTCCCCAGGTGCTTTACGCACCTTGAGGTCTTTAATATGACTTAGGAGCTCCGCTGGTGTGCAATGTGGAAACTCGGAGGGTTCCGCTAATGTGCTATGTGGAGCCTCAGACGAATCTTCTGAAGAAGAGTCATCTGAAGAGGATTCAGTGCCTCCGCTAACGCCGTTGGCTCTAAAATATCTCCTGACGGATCGTACGATGTGCTGTTCCTCGTCGAGGTCATAATCGAGATCATAGTTGGGAGAGAACTGTTTTTCCATGGCATCAGCGAAAACCTCGACCTTATCCTCCGTTCTGAAGACTATGCGTTCAGGACCGTGGATGTGTGGGAGTTGTTCTCGCTTTCCGTTTCTGAGTGACTTTGCGACCCTCCAGAGAGGAATACTTGATTCAAGCATTCCCGCCAGAAAGTCGCTCCATTGCTCGTTGCGGGGTTCGTGCAGTGCGTTTCTCACTTCATGGACAAGATTTGTAGCCCTACGAATGTCATCAGGATGACAAGACCTTTTTGCCTGCTTAATAGCGGCTCTTTTGTCAGAGATTTTCTGACGAATGTCCGCAGGCAAAAAAGGTCTGCCGTGTCGTTGTACAGGAAATACAGCTGCACGCTGTAGAGCTGCTTGAATGAAACTTGTCCACTCCGCTTGAGCGGCATCTATTCCAGACTCATCATCTATAATCGGGATATTGGGAAACTCTCTAAGAAGCAACTTGTATAGGTCCCAATCAATGCGTTTCCTTGGAGGAGCTGCCTCCTCAGAAGTTTGCTCATTGCCCACATCCAAGACAACAGGTAGATGGTCACTAGAGATATCATACAAGATTCGAGAAGAAGGTTTAGTTGGTATCAACTACTGCGTACGCGCACACGTTTTACGCACGATTATTATTTTTCGAGTTTCCCAGTTCATGTCGAGTGGTTTCTTTATCATCATGGCAGACGCAGAAGATCCGCCAGGACCTCGCCATAGCGAGCACGGGCAAACTTTTACAAATGAAGAATACGCAGACATAATGTTCTGTTATGGACTTTGTAACGGCGATTCTGCAGCTGCCCGCCGTGAATATCGGCAACGTTTCCCGAATCGCCGAACACCTCATGTTACTGTGTTTGGCTCTGTGTATCGGCGCATCCGCCAAACCGGACGTGTTCAAAGGCAACATAGTGATGCTGGTCGACCCCGAGTCTATCCTCCTGAAGATGAAGAGGAAATCCTTCGTGTGTTTCAGGAAGACCCTACTACCTCTACGCGCATTGTGGCTGCTCAGTTGGGTATATCACAATACAAAGTATGGTTTACTGTGCATACTGCAAGATTATACCCTTATCACTACGCGCCTGTACATGTGATTGAAGAGGGCGATCCTTCAACACGATTAGATTACATGCAGATACAGAAGATCCAGACTATTTTAAGAAAATTCTGTGGACCGATGGATCGAAGTTTGATAAGGACGGGATCACTAACTACCATAATGCTCATTACTGGGCTGATAAAGAAGCTTTAAACCCCCGAAAAATAAGACCGACGGGGTCTCAGAGCCGGTTTTCAGTCAATGTGTGGATGGGCACCATTGATGGATATTTAATTGGACCTCATTTTCTGCCCACCAATTTAAATGGAGAAGTGTATGAAGAGTTCTTGAA